ATATATATATATATATATATATATATATATATATATGGGTTTGGTACATGGCATAAAATTACCCAGTTCCCTTCTTCGTCCTGTAATCAAGGTATGTGCCTACATTGCGAAAGCCTACTTCTAGACGCCTCTCAGCGGAGCCCGTAACCGGAAGCACTGCGTACATCCTACGTAACATACTCCGGATGAAGTCAACGTAACAATTCTTTGGACCTATATCTCCGTGCCACAACTCAAACCTTTCGTTCTTGTAAATGATTTCTAAATTTTCCTATAAGAGGAGGTTTCAGTAATAGGTTGTAAAAGATTTGAAAATTCAGTAATTTGTCATAATTCACTTGCCATGTTAACAGCATGCAGAGCACCTGCAGCTGCGTAGTGCTTGACTTCAACAGCTTTCGAAGTAAGAAAACGGTTGGACAAAACAACAACGCCATCAATGAGGAGAGAAGGAACTCCTTCAACGTCAGCCAGCTGCCATCCAACTTTTAGTCTGGCAACAATTTGATTCAGTCTTTGTAAAGGATTTAATCCTCTATCCGTTACTCCTGACTGGGCTTTCAAGAAAACGAACACCTACAAATAAGCACACATACTTTACACGCTTTACGGAAACGACGCTCTGTGCAGTGTAAGTAAAAATCACTAAATCAGGTTTTCCCACTATCATGAATCGACAGCACTGTTAGCTGTAAACCCAGAGTCTGTGGATGAAGCAAGAAATGTGAGCTTTGTAATCTTACCATACCAACAGTATCAGTAAAATGGGTCCTCAGTTTGGCAATGGAAGTTCCAAATGGTACTACTAAATCTTATATATTGCGAAAGGATCTTAGTCATACCTTGCTGAAGAATGTAACTCTCAAAATTGTAACCTTCTTTTTGCTTTCCATTGGTGATTCTTTTTTAGGCTCAAAAGCCTCATCTTCTCGCCTCCTCTTAGCTTTGACGACTTCTGCACGTCCCTCGTAATTACGATTGTAGTTCTAAAATTCTTGGCCATGAAAACCCAGAATTTTCTGAATTTTAAGAGAACCATATTCTCTTTTAAATCAATAAGATCGTAGGAACTGCGCTCTGACCTGTCTGTACTTCTCCATTAGACCACTACCTAATTCATTTACTTCTCGCGTTAGTTCAGGATCATAACTGAAAGGTTCAACATGATAATCATGCATGGTTACTTGTTTTTAAATACTTTTGAGCTTAGGACTTCAACTATCACTGATTAAGTAAACTAAATTCGTGGGTTTCTAGAACCGCCATTTTCTTACTGCTTCATCGAATTCTATGGTTCAAAGCCCTAAATTACACCAGAAGTTTCAACACCAGATGTTTCATGAGAAACTAATACGATTCTTAGCGTAAATACAGTGTTAAATATGTGTCGTTTCGCCGTATTACTTTTCAAACAAATAACAAAAGTAACAAACGCCCAACAATCAATATAGTGCGTTTGGAAGACTTACACACAACCCAGAATATTAGCATTAACGAATAATTGGGCAAGACATAGAAGGCGATTCTTTGGATAGGACGTAAGATGCCTGAGAATGAAACTCTTCCTCAACTCCCAATGTTGGTCACTTTCACTTCTTGCTCGAAAACTATCTACTTCCTCCTCTGTCACATACTTATCCATAACGAAAGTACTGCAATATATTAAAAGCGAAGCCAGAATTAAAATTTAGCTGCAAATCAACAGTGCAGCAAAAGACGTCCAGATACCACAAAATATGCGCATTTACCACGGACCAATTCACTATCTAAGTAACCGTATCAAACAACAGACCGCCATACAGATTTCAAATACAGCAAATTTTGGAAAACAGTATGGCTAACTTTTCAGCAGTAATAAACTACTTTTTTGAAGCATTCTTTAAACATTTTGACTCACCACCCCTTGGTTAAATTGAGTTCTCCAAACCCTGCCGTCATCTGCTGTCCCCATATCCAATTCTAATTTCATTAAGCTATTAATAACCAGAAAGCGTAAGTATCTCACAATTACTAAAGTTTCAACTGCAGGGGACCGACAGTCCTAGAAATCGCCCCGAAGTTCTCACTAAACCACTTCCAAAGTTCAGTGAAACCTTGGAGACTATCCCCGGCTGTATAACCAACATTCAAGTTCCCCGCTATCCGCCTAGTACCTCAGACCCATTAGTCGCTCTCTTTGCAAAGTCTAGTCTTTCCCAAGGCACGGTATTGCCCGTCCTAAAACTTGCTCCTCTGAAGCAACCCTCAAGCACGTTAATATCAAAACACATGTGTCAAAAAGAAAATTAGCAGTACCCAAGCAACAAATCAAATCATGTGATCTTAAAAATAAATAGACCACTTGTGAAGGTGAAAGACTGACCCCTTTTGAGCGAAAAATCTTCAGTCAAAATTGCTGATGTTACAACAACAGCACCGAGTTTCCAAAACTTAAAGCCCCCTTTTTTGCATATCCAAAAACCTGATTCAACTCAAGGAATGGTTACGCTAGGCTAAAAACAAATTTCTTGTGCACACCTGACCGCACCTTACACCCACACCGATGCCGTGGGACTTTATGAGATGCAGCGTCAGCAAAGGAGCATCTTTTAAAGGGCACTATTAGGTTAACGAAACTTTTTGCGCACTGAAGAGTAGCAACAAAAATGAGTTTTCAAAAGAACTCAACAAAATGGCGCTTAACGAGCGCAATTCTAAAAAATTCTAAAAAATCTACTCTTTTTTCCTTTCAACAAAAGAAGTTTATGCCATCTTGAACAACTTCTAATCCTTCATGGAGTTAAAATAAGTGGTCTGTAAAGCTAAATATCTTTCATCTAAGTAAAACCGGTAATAAACGGCTTCATAGTATTTACAATGGATGTCCTATCAAGGAAGTAAGCAATGTAGGTGAAGACCAGGCGAGGAACTTGTCGAATAAAATTATACTCGAGGACAAAGAAATAAAAAAAAATTTAGTTGTAAAACAGTGTCACAATAAAAACAAATAAGAGGGAACTCAATATACAAAGCAGAGAAATATAATAGACAATCTAGACACGAATCAAATAAGGACAGTGATGAAAATAATGGTTGACTTAACTGTAGCAAAAATACGCAAAAGCAAAAATAGTCCCTGATATTACAAAGTTATAACTTAACGGAATAAACAAATGGAGAAGCACAGATATACAAAAAGGAATAACAAATTTATACTGAGCTAGATATCTGAGATTAAGACATGGTTTCTGGAAGGGTACTTGAGTGGTAAACATCGGAACAACTTTTCTTGGATATTCTGGATCCAGGATAATGCGTGCGACTGTTCCTATCAAACTGTCTTCCTTTCCATAACATTCTAGAACCATATGATATTTCATATAAGCCACTCTACGGTTTTTGAAAACTAATGAGTGGAGTAATAATGGAACAAGTAAATGCACCATACCTGAGAGATACTGCAAAGGTTTGGTACGATTTAGTGCTATTGACAATTTGTATAGCAGTCGTGACAACCACCAAACTTCATTTGTTTGAAGAGGTGATATCAAAGGAGGGGTAGCATCTGAGCAATGAGATAAGTCAAATCGATGAGTTCCTTTACCCAACTGTAATTGGAGTAAAATGTCTAAAAGTAGCTTAAAATTCTGTTTTGAACCATAATGGTTCAAATAAATCGGCCAACCTGTTGTCTACCCAGAGGAGTCAAGTACATCATTTTTGAAATAGGATCAACCATGTGGTCGGGAAGTTCAAGTCCATTCTTCTTGACAACTCTGTCCTCAACGAAAGATCGAGATGCATTTAAATCGCTATTCAAAGCAGGAGAAAAAACTGCTGGTGTTTCATCGCAACTAGCGCCTTTTACTTTTGCTACTAGCACTTCTAGCTCGCTTATAGCGTTTTTTAGCGCAACAGTACTGTCATCTGCTGAAATAAATAATACTATTTTATCAAACCTTGTCTTTCCTTCCAAACCACATAAATGAACAGTCACTGGAAAACAGCCAACCCCAGCTGTAATAAGGAGCAACTGAAAATTCAAATTAAAATCTACAGTATATTTCCCAGCCCTCTTTTGAAAGAGCTAAACGAATATCAATATACTTTTGGAAATTAGAATAATTGAAAAACGTACGTTCGCACAAAAACAGTTTTGCAAACCAGTTCAATCTTTCATACTCCGTCTGTTTTTCGAAAACTATTTTACGAAGATCACTTATGGTCAACTGGATTGAATTTACAAATGATAGCAATTTTTCTTCTATATCGTAACATAAAATGTTGTACACCTAAAAATATTATTTCAATACTGATTAAAGTTTAAGAATTAAGTTAAAACACCAGTTTTTTTCATTGAGTTAGACCACTCTGGTAAGCTGCAACATCATATTGTTTAAAAAATGAAAAATAAACGAATTACACTAATTAATTCTGGAGCAGTCAACACTAATATATAGCTCTGAACACTCTGCACGTCACGAACGTTTGAAAAATGAAAAGTTCTTTGCCAAAACATGTCCGACAGTTCAGTGTAAAACCGAGTATTTGCTTGTAGGAACTGCATCACTCGTTGGACATCGTTAGTACCACGAGTATCAAAATAGCGCCATGGTCGAATCCACGTGACCCAAACATCTGAAATTGATTTTAAAACGACTTTTGAAAAAAAAGCGGCAGCCTAAAAGTAAAGAGCACTTGTTGTAGAGATAAGACTAAAAAAAACAATACCAAATGCAAGAGAAACTGACCAAAAAGAACCGAGAACGAAACATTGGCTGGCCATTTTTTGAAAAGAGAAGAAAAAAATGAAAAAAGACAGTCTCCGAATGGCGGATTATAATGCAACTGGGACTTCAGTTGTGCTAGAACGGCATTTTCCGTTTCTGCTAGAACGAAAACATGCAATTCCTTCAAGACATATCTAAATAGCCTTTACTTTGACAAGCATTTCACTAAGATCTCAATAAGACGGATAAAAACATAAGAACTATAATAATTGCTCAGTAAAAAAGCAACAGTTATTCTACCCGTGATTTCATAAAAACTTGGATATTGTGAAAGGATAAATGAGTAAAGAAAATAATTCATAACAAACACGCGAGAAATGGCAGTACTCAAAAGAAGAATCCTGCGTCATTATCTAATAGGTTGTATGAAAAAAGTGAAATTACCTAAGAGCCCCAAGTCGATAATCAGAGGGCCAACTGGACAGTGAGGTAAGATTTTGTACTAAGATATGGATAAAAGAAAAAAACTGAGCATTTAAAAGGCGAGAATAAGAATGTAACGACCGAAGCGAATGTGTTGCTGATGAAATCTCAAAACGTCTTAGCGCGTCCTTAAAAAATTTTTTAAATAATTTATATTTTACGAGGGGGAACTAGAAGGTACAAATCTTCTTTGTCTGAAAGAATAAAAAACCAGTTACCAGACCTTGGTGCCTTTTAGTAACATTATTTAGTTACCTCACGGATAAGTTTCAAAGGGGACACAAAAGACGAATTGGATGGTGTATTCACGATAGACGACCTTTCGTGGGCTGGAATTATAGGCTCCTCACCTGTTGGCATCATATAACACACATACTCAGACAGAAGACTCATATAGACACTGTTCTGCACGATCCTGAATGGCAGTCTACATGGAGAACGTTCCAAATGAAGAGCGAAAGATGTAATAAAAAATGCGAACAGATCGCCACCGCTTTCAACCAAAATCTAAAATTGCACTGCCCTACAATCAAGACTCTTCAAATAAAAACAAAAAGGTTGTCTGAATTGGTCCGCTGACTGCTCGGTAAAACAAGTGTGGTACAAACTACTTCAGCAGTCGC